AGGCCAGCAGGGAGCAGTTAGGGGCAATCAGACAGGCAGAGGTGGTTAGGGGAGATCAGGCAGGCAGGCAGAGGGGTTAGGGGCTATTAGGCAGGCAGGCAGGCGAGCAGTTAGGAGCCAGCAGTCCTGGATTGCGAGAGGCAGTTGGACATCCCCCGAGGGGTCCCAGATTGGAGAGGGTGCAGGCCGGTGCACGAATTTTGTGCGCTGGGCCTCTAGGGCAATTACAAAAAATCATGCTTCTTATTCCATTATTGTCAGGAACAAGATAAGTATGCCCACTGCTATCACTTAACATTGTCAGGAAAGCACTAGTCAATGCAGCAAAATTAGCTGATGGAATAAATAAGATGTAACAAAAAGGGGGGTGAGAGGCATAATTTTTTTACAGATGAAATAATTGCATACTACAAAACTAACACTGTATTAAATGGAGAACTGTTGGACCAGGGGCGGGGACAGAAGTCTGTATAAGTCAGCTCCCCTCTGGCTCTGGGAGCACGGTTTCCCTTTCCACCAAGACTGTTTCCCAGGCTGGAACTGAAGCTGAAATACAATGACGTCTTGCAGGAGCAGAATGGGGCGGACCAGACCAGTGCAGGGCAGCCGGGGCCCTGTGCTGTTTTCACAGCCCTGCTAGGTCACAACGGAGTGATTTGCAGTAAATAGTCTCCTTCTTCTCTACACCCCAAAATAGTTATTCCTGTGGGTGTTGACTAAATGACCATCAAGTCATTGAATAACTAATCAAGAAAAAAAGATTTTAATGAAATGTGCTTTTTTGTGCCCCAACAGCTATAACTTGCCGTGGCTCCTCAAGATGTCCACCTTAGTCTTAGGGTTCGGCCTGGTTTTATTTATGTTCAGAAGTATGTACCTTCATGAAGAGTTCAGCCTCCAACCAGCGCTCCCTCATCCCGATCCGGTGCTCCCTCGTTCCAATCCGGCTGCCCAGATGCCAAAGCTTCTACCCGAGGAACGTCTCCGGTCCCTCTTTTCCTACGATGGAATCTGGTGAGCTATCACGCGTTTCTCTCCCATCTTGGCCTGACAGCTCCCTTGCTCCTCCTGTGGTTTGCTCGGCTCTGTTGTGCCCGTTTTACAGATGATCCCCTACCTTCCTGACCTGTGTTGGTTGTTCAAATGGTGCCCTACTGTGGGACCAGGAGAGGGCTTGGTCTCCAGGGCACAGCCTCTGTTCTCTGCAACACTCAGTCAAGTCCCTTAAAACCTTGGAGGGCCCATTTAACTGCCAGCTCTTTGTCCCTCCAGCCGCCTCTGCTGGTGGAGCTGAGATGCCACTGGCATATCTGTGATTCTCAAGTTTAAAGAAGTTTGGTGCAGGGGATAAGTCAAGAGAGCGGCCCTTCTTCCCATTCCCCGCTCCTTCCCCTCCCTGGGTCTTGGTCAGGGGCCTCTGCTAATATTCCAGGACAGAGGGTCTGGGAAAGGCGGTTTCTCAGAGGGACACACGTGGGATAAGGTCTCAGGTTCCCCCTCACTCATCAACCCCCCTCCTCCCACCCAGTCACGTTCACAGTCTTCTTGCTTGTTTTAGGCTGTTCCCGAAAAATCAGTGCCATTGTGAAACTAAAGGCCAGGGCTACAACTTTGAGGGTGCCTTCGGCCAGAAAGACCTCCCTGCAGTGAAAGCGAGGAGACAGGCGGAATTTGAGCACTTTCAGAGGAGGTAATGTAGACCGCCAGGGCTCTCGGGCCCCGAGGGGGAGCAAAGGCTCTACTTTGTCCTGAGGGTATGGGTTCAAAGAGAGAAGGAAGGAGCTCCCCCTCTTGCAAGGGTGCCTGGGAGGAACTATTAGGCATAAACCTAGAAAAGAGAATGGAGGAAATAGTCCTTAAATGAAGATTTATAAACTTTGCATGCATCAAACATCTATACTAATAAAAGCCTAGGTGGTGTCAAGCCCTCGTGCATGACGTCATCACAAGATGGCTACCACAAGATGGCCGCCACAAAGATGTGCACAGCGGAGGTGGGGGCCCGGCGGCCACTCTACATGGTGAGGCCTAGGGGTCGGTGAGGCCTGGGGGTCCTGCAGCTCTGTGCAGCGCAGAGGAGGCCAGTCCCAGTGTCTCCGCCGCCTTGCTCAGAGGAGGCAGGTCCCAGCGGAGGAGGCGGGTCGTGGCAGGGGAGGGCAGTTGGGGGCGATTGGGCCTAAACCGGCAGTCAGACATCCCCCAAGGGGTCCCAGATTGGAGAGGGTGCAGGCTGGGCTGAGGGACACCTTCCCCCCGCTGCATGAATTTTGTGCACTGGGCCTCTAGTAATAAAATAATAGCATTTGTGATTGAGGACTTTAACTTTGGAACAAGCTGGGTGCCAAGTTACTTAACCTCATAGCACTTCAGTATCTTATATGAAAAATTATAATAGATACCTCCCTCCAAAGCTTATTGTGGGGGGAGCAGGAGGTCCTAATATAAGGTGACAGAAGATTTAACTTTGGGTGATGAGCACATGGTGCAATACACAGATCTTGTAACACCGAAACCCACACCTGAAACCTATATGTTCATGTTGACCAATGCCCCCCTCCAATCAATTTAATTAATAAATATTTTAAGAAGCTTATTGTAAGGTGAATTGTATTAACATACACAGAACTAGTAACTCAAAAAGGACCTGACATATAGAAGCACTGCAAAAATATTACCTACTATTATTGTTGTGATTTATTATATCATCATTCTTTTTTTTTTTTTTTTTTTTTTTTTTTTTTAAATATATTTTATTGATTTTTTACAGATAGGAAGGGAGAGAGATAGAGAGTTAGAAACATCGATCAGCTGCCTCCTGCACACTCCCCACTGGGGACGTGCCCGCAACCAAGGTACATGCCCCTGACCGGAACCGAACCCGGGACCCCTCAGTCCGCAGGCTGACGCTCTATCCACTGAGCCAAACCGGTTTCGGCAATATCATCATTCTTTTAAAAAAGTTTTTCATGTATTGATCTTAAAGAGAGAGAGGAATGGAGAGGGGAGAGAGAGAGAGAGAGAGAGAGAGAGAGAGAGAGAGAGACATTGATTTGCTCCACTTATTTATGCATTCATTGGTTGATTCTTGTAATGCCTCAGATCGAACCTGAAGCCTTGGGAGATCAGGATGACCTTACATAGCCCTTACCTTTAAACTTTAATGAAAAGGTAGTTGTTTTTTTATTTTTATTTTATTGATTTTTTACAGAGAGGAAGGGAGAGAGATAGAGAGTTAGAAACATCGATGAGAGAGAAACATCGATCAGCTGCCTCCTGCACACCTCCTACTGGGGATGTGCCCGCAACCCAGGCACATGCCCTTGACCGGAATCGAACCTGGGACCCTTCAGTCCGCAGGCCGACGCTCTATCCACTGAGCCAAACCGATTTCGGCGGTAGTTGTTTTTTAAAGTTGCATTTCCCTGAGTAATATTGAAGCTGAGCATGCTTCATATATTTATTTTCAATTTGCATTTCCTCTTTTGATTTCCTAGTTAGGTCCTTTTCCCTTTTTAAATGTTGTCTTTTTCATATTCCCATAAATACTCACTCCAATAGTCTGATCTCTCTTCCAGGTAATCTAGGTGGTGGTATCTTTGGTTAAACTGGGTCCCTCAAGGCTACATTTCAGCCGTGTTACCTTAGTCCAGTGGTTCTCAACCTTCTGGCCCTTTAAATACAGTTCCTCATGTTGTGACCCAACCATAAAATTATTTTCGTTGCTACTTCATTACTGTAATGTTGCTACTGTTATGAATCGTCATGTAAATATCTGATATGCAGGATGGTCTTAGGCGACCCCTGTGAAAGGGTCGTTCGACCGCCAAAGGGGTTGAGACCCACAGGTTGAGAACCGCTGCCTTAGTCCTCAAAGAGCCAATCTCACTGGATTGTGTTATGCACTTGCCTTTGACTGAAGGTCGTTACAACAACAAAACCATTTGAAAATCATCACTGTGTTTGCTCTGAAAATATGGGGACGACAACCACTCGCATACACAGTTTCCTGTGATACACTTTATGTTTTGGTGCAGAGCCAGGAAAAGTTTGACTTCCCTTCAGGAATTGGTCTCCCTTGCCCCTTTAAGAAGACCCGAGTTCTGACAATCATGTTATACCCTGGCTACCAGGTGACTTTAAATGAAATCATTAAAACCACAGGTGACTTTGGTGTTCAGCTGCTGCAGCTGTGCTGGCCCCTACAGTCTGGTTATTTTGTTTGTTCTTTTTTGCTGGTCATGATTTTTGTTTTTTGTGTGCTTTGTTGTAAACTGCTCAGTTCGTTTGTGGAGTTAAGAGGCTGGGCGTCATGGAGGAGGGGAGGACAGAGGGGAGATGGTTACAATCTACTTTCCATTTCTCCCCATTGGCAGCCCAAGGCTCGGGCACAGGCACCTCTTTAAGAACTAACCTGGGAAGGGAGTCAGGGCAGCTGTTAACAGTTCCTTTTCTCTGCAGGGAAGGGCTGCCCCGCCCGCCGCCCCTGCTGGCTCCGCCCAACCTCCCCTTCGGGTACCCGGTCCACGGGGTGGAGGTGATGCCCCTGCATACAGTTCCCATCCCAGGTAGGTCCGCCCCATCCTGAGTGGACTTGGGCAACTGTCCTATTCCTTCTTCAGCAAAAGAGGGAGCAATCATTCACTGAGTACCTGCTGGGTACCAGCACCAGGCAAAAAGTTTGAAATGATTTCATTTAATGTTCATATCACTGTTTCCACCACTGGAGATCACCCTTAGTAGCTGTGACCTCCCTGGGGCTATGAGATGACACCGAAGAGGACAGATATCTGTGAGCCTCAAGGAATCTTAGGACATAATTGGCTTTTTGGTGTCCTACAGCAGTGGTCGGCAAACCGCGGCTCGTGGCTTGCAAGCCACATGTGACTCTTTGGCCCCTTGAGTGTGACTCTTCCACAAAATACCATGTGCGGGTGTGCACGTACAGTGTGATTGAAACTTCGTGGCCCCTGCGCAGAAGTCGGTTTTCGGAAAGGAGATAGACCAGTGATGGCGAACCTCTGACACACGTGTCAGAGGTGACACGTGAACTCATTTTTTTGGTTGACTTTTCTTTGTTAAATGGCATTTAAATATATAAAATAAATATCAAAAATATAAATCTTTGTTTTACTATGGTTGCAAATATCAAAAAATTTCTATATGTGACACGGCACCAGAGTTAAGTTAGGGTTTTTCAAAATGCTGACACGCCGAGCTCAAAAGGTTCGCCATCCCTGAGATAGACGAAACAAGTATACAAGACGAGTGTGGATGGGAGAGTTGGAAGGGGTTGACCTCAGCGAACGTAACAATATAGCTCTAAGTTTTGAAAAAAGGTCGTGTGCTCTCTCTTTGTGACAGTTTTGGGTAGGTAGGTATATTTATTGCCATCTCTCAGATGAAGCTGAGAAATTGACTAAATTGCCTACACTCTTAAATGGTAGACTTGGGATTTGAACGTAGGGGTTTCTGTTTGTTTAAACTAACTTTCAAGCCCATGATTTCCTCTCAGCGCCATTTGGTGATTAAGAAAAAATAACATCAGAAGTGTGTTTTTTGTAGTAAGTTGGCAAAACCACACTATAGGAAGGAACCAAGGCCGAAGGAAGACTGTAAAGATGACCTAGTTGATCAGAAAGCCAAGTGAGGTTCCCTTGTGTTTGAATAGCTTAAGCAGAATTTGTAAACCATCAGTGGCTATGAGACAGATGAGCTGACAGCTGAGGAAATATCCTGGCTGTAGTTTAAATGCTAACTGACCCCGGCCTCTGGAGGTGCAAAGTCCAAGAAAGATTCAGGGTAAGTTAGTTTAATGAACTTACTGTTTAGATCAGTGGTCGGCAAACTGCGGCTCTCGAGCCACATGCGGCTCTTTGGCCCCTTGAGTGTGGCTCTTCCTAAGCCTTAGGAGTACCCTAGTTAAGTTAATAACAGTGTACCTACCTATATAGTTTAAGTTTAAAAAATTTGGCTCTCAAAAGAAATTTCAATCGTTGTACTGTTGATATTTGGCTCTGTTGACTAAGGAGTTTGCCGACCACTGTCCTACAGCATCTTGGGAGCAGGCAAAGCTCAGGCCATCTCCAGGAATTAACGCTCCTCAGCATGAGGGCCTGGCTGATCCAGGGTGCTTACTTGGACCCCCTTGGGGGGTGGTCTGCACTGGTGCTCCCAGTCCCCCCTCACGCAGGGTGGAGGTGGGGAGAAGGTGCAGAGGGGTCGACATCAGACCTGAGGAAGGAAGTGTCTATGCTGGGCCTGGCTCTCTAGGTACCTGCCGCACACACAGGGCCCCTGACATCCCCATCCTGGGGGAAGGGCTGATGGTTGAGGGGGGCTCTGGCCCCGATACAAGCAGCACTATTTTCTAGAAGTAAAGTAACTATTTGTTTTTTAAACAACTAAAAAGCTTTTACACACTCCTCTAGTCCAGCAGCACCGCCCTGTGAGGTAAATGTGATTTTGCCAATTTCCCAGATGAGCTTAGTACGTTCCCTATGGCCACAGAGGAGGGTATGTTTGAAGGAGAACTTGAATTAGTCATATTATAAGATGCTAAAGTAAATACACTTGGGGTTCATTGTTAGTGTTTTTGAATGGTTATTTAAAAATAATATGACACTTTGGATGATTCATTTTTTATTGTGGTAAAGTATGCACAACAGAATTTACTATTTTAACCATTTTAAGTGCACAGTTCTATTGCATTGAATACATTCACATTGTTCTGCAGCCATCACCACCATCCATCTCTAGAACTTTTTCATCTTCCCCCTGGAACTCTGCACCTATTTCACATTACCTCCCCTCTCCCTCCAGCCCCTGGCAACCACCATTCTACTTCCTGTCTTGATGGGTTTGACGACTCTAGGGGCTCCATATATGGATGATTCATTATTATTATTTTTTTAATGATTTCAGAGAGGAAGGGAGAAGGAGAGAGAGATAGAAACATCAATGATGAAAGAGAGTCACTGATTGGTTGCCCCCTGCATACCCCACACTGGAGACTGAGCCCACAACCTGGGCATGTGCCCTGACCGGGAATCGAACCATGACCTCCTGGTTCATAGGTCGCTGTTCAACCTCTGAGCCATGCAGGCCGGGCAGGCTGGTTCATTATTAACCCATTGCTTCCTTCCCTTCAGTAACAGATACCTGGAAGGGACTGGATTAATTCACAGCACCCATTCAAAGCTGAGGGTGGCATCAGGGGTTTTAGAACCGCTGGAAGGACCTTGGAAAGTGTCTAGCAGAACCCTGGGGAGAGGGGAGTCTGCCAGCAAACACCCTGGGGAGGAGGGAACACTGGAAGGGACATGGAGGCAGCCAGGAAGGTGTGAGCCTCAGAGAGCCCATGGAATCCTCTCAGATGACTTTTTGTTTTGTTTTCCTTTTCCCTGTGTCCTCCAGGTCTTCAGTTTGATGGACCCAGTGCCCCCATCTATAAGGCAAGAGCCCCCCCTTCCCAGTCCCTTTGTGCACTTGGCATCCTGTCCTTGGCTCACTGCCCAGCCCCCTCCCCGCAGTGGTGGCTGGTCTCGGGTTTTGACAGAGCCTCCATCCAGATGAAGCATCAGACACGAGTCTGAGGTGAGGGGGGAGGGGAGGGTGCCTATGCAAGGCCCACCTTTTCTAGCCGAAGGAGTGGCTGGAGTTCCAGGGAGGCCTTCCAAGACTGCGCCAAGGCACTGAGCCACCGCGGGTGCTGCTGCTTCCGCTGTGAGAGGACGCTGCTGCCACAGCCATGGCTCCGGCTCCTGCGTTGTGTTGCCTCTGCCAGGGCTAGCGCCTCCGAGATGGATGCCCTGTGCCCTGCCCGCTTTCCCCACTTAACAGAGCTCCAAATCAAGGTCTCTGCAAGTGTATCCGACTGGTGGGACGTAGATCACATCAAGAGCCCTAACTACAAAGGAGCCTGGGAAATGTAGTTTTAGTTTTCTCACCTCTGTCTGTTAAACAGAGGTTGGAATGGCTAGAAGCCTCCTCTGTCCCCACCCCCAGCTACCAGTAAGCCCTCTGCCACCTGCTTCTGTCATTTTCTCAGTTCTCTGTTATTTTCTTTTTTTAAAGAAAAATATATTTTATTGATTTTTTACAGAGAGGAAGGGAGAGAGATAGAGAGTTAGAAACATCGATGAGAGAGAAACATCGATCAGCTGCCTCCTGCACATCTCCTACCCAGGTACATGCCCTTGACGGGAATCGAACCTGGGACCTTTCAGTCCGCAGGCCGACGCTCTACCCACTGAGCCAAACCGGTTTCGGCCTCTGTTATCTTCTTATAGCACTTATCTGTACCTGAACTACCTCATATGCGTCGTGATATGCTTATGGCCTCTCTTCCCCAGTCCTATATAATAAAAGCCTAATATGCAAATTGACCAAACAGGGGACCAACCAGTGGAATGACTGGTAGCTATGACATGCACTGACCACCAGGGGGCAGATGCAAGCTGCCCCCAGCCCATAGGCCCCAGGCCAGCCAAGGCGGGTGCAGGGGGGGGGGCCCAATTGCCCCGCCAGTCACCCCACAGATCGGCCCTGATCGCCGGCCAGGCCTAGGGACCCTACCCATGCATGAATTTCATGCACCAGGCCTCTAGTAGACTATAAGCTTCTTGAAGGCAAGGAATCTGTCTTATTCACAACTTTCCTCCCGTGCCTATAATTTGGATCTCAGAATATATATCCACTGACTGACTAAAGTGCTTTCAGCAAGGCCCTAGCCGGTTTGGCTCCGTGGATAGGGTGTTGGCCTGCGGACCAAAGGGTCCTGGGTTTGATTCTGGTCATGGGCAGATTGGCTGTAGGTGTGAGGGAAATGGAAAGACAGCAACGACTTCCACTTGGGGACTTGAGCAGTTGAGCGGATGAAGGTGCCATTCATGAGGCAGGGAGAGGCTTATAGAGAGAAAGCAATAGTTCCATTTTGAAGATATCAGTTTGATTTGCTTGTGAAACTTCCTAGCAGGGCAACCAACCAGACAGTTGGATCTCAGAAAGAGATGAACTGTAGACACAAATGTTGAAACCATCAGCAGAGGGGTGGTATTTAAAGCCATGGGAACGGATGAAATCTTCTAGCAAGATGAAATCTCCTAGCAAAGAGCGCAGAGTCAAGCCCTGAAAAGCTCCATTCTGAGTTTTATTTATTTTTGTTAATATACTTTTATTGATTTCAGAGAGGAAGAGAGAGGGAGAATGAGATAGAAACATCAATGGTGAGAGAGAGTCATTGATCTGCTGCCTCCTGCACACCCCCCAATGGGGACGGAGCTCACAGCCCAGGCAAGTGTCCTTAACCAGAATCGAACCTGGGACCCTTCGGTCTGCAGGCCAACGCTCTGTCCACTGAGCCAAACCAGCTAGGGCCATTTGGAGGTTTTATAGAGGAGGAGTTGGCAAACTGAAGTCAAAAGAATGGTGTTCTGCAAGCCAACAGAAAGAAGAGAAAAGGAATGCACCAGGCCCCAGGGCTAAATTCTCCTTTGCTGTGACCAGAGCAGGGACACATGCAGAGCCAGGCCCTAGCTTCTGGGGCACCCATGAGCTTCTCCTCTCACCCTAATATGCTCTGCCCCCTGCAGGCCATGTTGGGTATGTGCCTTTCCTTCCATTTAGCTTCTTTGTACTTCACCCACCTTAGGTCACCCTGACAGCTTCTCTGGGGACACTCAACACCCTCGCTGACCTCCCAGACAGTGTGGTGCAGGGAAGAGGCCAGAAGCAGCTGACCATTTCGACCAGTGACCGGAAGCTTTTGAATTTCATCCTCCAGCACGTGACCTACACCAGCACGGTGTACCAGCACCACAGGGTGGATGTGGGTGAGATCCTGTCCTTGGATGGCAACATGCTGAGGGAGCCGGAAAACACCACTGGGCCCTCTCCAAGTCTTCCTCCTCCAGGAAGCCTGCCTGCATGGAAGATGCTTTCCTTGCTCCTGTTTCTAACCCTAGACACCTAACTTCCAAATTACTGTACCCAATACTATCCCCACGTTGCTACTGACCCCATAGAAGGGACTCCAGGCAAGGACAGGTGAAGAGCCTCCTCTTCTCTATGAGGACGGGTCTTTCATGCTGTGTACCTGGAAACCATCCGGTTCTGTTCCCTATTCTCTATTGCTTTCAAAGCTGAAGACTTCAGCTACGGTAGAGGAGGGGGCCAGTCTATGCATCCGTTTATTGTCCTGGGTATTAACAGGAAAGGGGATGTGGGGAAACTCCCAGTCCAAAGGACAGTGGCTTTGACTCCTCCTTCCCAATCAACCCCCTCCCCCAAGCTCCACCCCAGGAATTCCCTGGAGAACAATTCCTGCCCGTTTCTGGATGAATCAGTCACCCCTTTCTCTCTCTCTCTTTTAATATATATATATTTTTTATTGATTTCAGAGAGGAAGGGAGAGGGAGAGAGAGAAACATCAATGATGAGAGAGAATCACTGATTGGCTGCCTTCTGCACTCCCCCCACTGGGGATCAAGCCCACAATCTGGGCATGTACCCTTGACCGGAATCGAACCTGGGACCCTTTAGTCCTCAGGCCGACGCTCTATCCACTGAGCCAAACTGGCGAGGGCACCCCTTTCTCTTTTGACTAGCTACACAGGATGGATTCCCAGGACACCAACAAAAAGAAATGAAACATGGGGCAGATGACCCATGACCACACACTAAAAAGCCAGTTCTCCCGACCGAATGACCCTGTGAAATAAAATAGGGCAGGTATTTGTGGAGGCCCGCTCCCAAGGGTCCCGCAGGGTAGAGGTGGCGTGGGATTAAAGCACCAGAGACCGGGGTTAGGAGGACTGGCACAAGGTACCAGCAACTTTATTTTTTACACACATTGTCTTATAGCTAAGCTGTGGCTGGTCATGCTTCATAGATCACTGCTAGGGCTTGGCCTATCATGGGGAAGTAGCAGATCGTTACAGACTGGGCAAGACTGGGCAAGCTTTGTCTAGTTCCATCTATGTTTGACAGTTGCTATGACAAACAGTTGCTATGACAAAATGTCTGCTTGCCTAGATCACAAGAACTGGGGTGCAAACCAAATTCATGTCCTTTACATGACTTGGAGTGGGGTCAGGCCTTTCCTGTAGCCCGACGGCCTCTTACAGGTATTATTATCCTGGTCTTGTAGCTGGAGGAGACTGAGCGATTTACCCAAGGCATTTCAGATAACAATGGCAAAGTCAAAGATAATCCGGACTCTGTGACTCCACACCCTCCCTGTCCACCCCTGGAGATTCTCACAAGGGCAAGAAATGTGAGTTTAGGAGGTGCTCAGCAGGTGGCCCCAGGGACACACAGCAAATCAGGAGCCAGAATGCCATCGACTCCATTAGGGCCTCAGTCTCACCGCAGCCAGGACACTGTCTACCAAACCTTCACTCCCGCGTTGCCTGGGTTTCCCTGGGGCAGCATGGGGAGTGACCCAGGCACGGTGCTGCCCGCCTGACCTTATTTCTCCCTCCAGTGAGTCTGACGTCCAAGTCCTCAATAGCCAAGTTTCCAGTGACCATTCGCCATCCCGTCATACCCAAGTTATACGACCCTGGACCAGGTAAGGCCCTTGCCCTGGGGCTGCATGGTGGCATCCTGTAGAGCTATTGGTGAAATTCAGGCCCCCTAAGATGGAGACGAGAATTGACCAAAATAACAGTTTAGATATGGTTCCTGACAAGTTTGTTTGGAGGAAAACAATTCTAGGACACATTGCTCTCATATTGCTTAATTATATTTAACTTTTTGTATGGTTGTGCTTATTTTGAGAAAGACCTAAGGAATGATAACATTTTAATAAGTAATAGTGCCAGCTGGCGTGGCTCAGTGGTTGAGCATTGACCTATGAACCAGGAGGTCACGGTTCGATTCTCAGTTCCGGGCTGGATCCTCACTAGGGGGTTTGCAAGGGGCAGCTGATCAATGATTCTCTCTCATCATTGATGTTTCTCTCTCTCCCTCTACCTTCCTCTCTGAAATCAATAAAAACATATTATATTTAAAAAAATAAGTAATAAAAACAGAATAGTACTGGAGCATGAATAGATATATCAGTGGAATCAAATTGAAATTCCAGAAATAGACATGTTTGAATTTTACCATGTGATAAAGGTAACTTTCAAATTAAAGAGGGAAAGATGTATAGTGTGGTTATTTTAGGCATTTTTGAACTTTTTCATAAAAGTTATCACACTGTATGGTATGAAGTTCTAGAACCTGATCTTTCGTCAGCCCATGGCTTGTCTTCTGATGTTGTTTCCAGGGTCTTTGGTTATATGAAAGTTTTATCCATTAGTGTAATAAAATTGATTCACTGTTTTCTTTCTGGGTTTTTCTCTTTGTACCTTATTCAAGAAATTCTTCTCTACATTAAAGCAAGAAAGATATTCTCCTGAATTTTTCCAAAGATGTACCTGATTGCTTTCACATTTAGATATGTGATCTACCTAGAAGTTATTTTTATGTGTGGCTTATTATGGGGATCTAATTTTTTGGTATATGAATAGCAACACCATATAAGCCCTTCCTCTTCCCTGGCTTGTATTGTCGCTCTGTCACACACCAAGGTTCGTATGTGCAGGAGTCTGAATCTGGGCTTTGTTAGCTTGCACTGGTCTGTTTATCGTTGGGATAATTCCATAATGTTTTTTTAAAAAATATTTTTATTAATTTCAGAGAGGAAGGGAGAGAGAGATAGAAACATCAGTGATGAGAGAGAATCATTGATCAGCTGCCTCCTGCACACCCCACACTGGGAATCAAGCCCACAACCCAGGCATGCGCCCTAACTGGGAATTGAACTGTGACCTCCTGCTTCATAGGTCGACATTCAACCACTGAGCCTCGCTGGCCAAGCTAAGTGTACACTTTGATAATACATCATCTGTGTATTGTATTGTATGTTCACCACCTAAAGTCATGTCTTCTTCCATCGCCATATATTTGAACCCCTATCCCTCTGGTAACCAACATACTATTGTCTGTGTCTATGAACTTTTGCTTGTCTTGTTTGTTCATTTATTGCTTTCAGTTTTATAGCCCACAAATGAGTGATATCACAAAGGGTTCTCGACTTTTTTGTCTGATTTATTTTGCTTAGCATGATACTCTCAAGATCCATCCGTGTTGTCACAAATGGCAGTATTTCGTCTTTGCTTATGGCTGACTAGTATTCCATTGTATATGACGACCACATCGTCTTTACCCACTCGTCTAGTGAAGGACACCTTGCTTGTTTTCTTGTCTTAGCTACCGTGAAGGAAGTCCATGTCTCTGAGACATGGACTCCCTTTAACTCAGTGCTTCAGTAAACGCAGGGATACATAAATATATTTATTTTCTAACCCGACAAACAAACCCTTGTTAAGCACCTACTCAGGCATGAGGCCCATAAACACTGAGAGGTTGTGGCATCAAAACCCCACCAGAACAATGTAAGCTAAGACAGTGAGGCTTCCCCAAACACAGTGCTCTGACATCCACCCTTTCTTGACCAGAGAGGAAGCTCAGAGACCTGGTGACCATTGCCACCAAAACGTTCCTCCGTCCCCACAAGCTCATGACCATGCTCCGGAGTGTTCGTGAGTATTACCCAGACTTGACCGTGATCGTGGCTGATGACAGCAAGGAGCCTTTGAAAATTAATGACAGCCACGTGGAGTACTACAGCATGCCCTTTGGGAAGGTATGTCCCTCCCTCCCAGATGGGAGACACCTGGGTCCTGGGACAAGAGGGCCCCAGAGTCAGGTCCCACCCTGGATGGGGCTGCTTCGGTGGCCTCCCCAGGGAAGCAGGGTCCGGGAGCGGGAAAGGGTAGGACTCTCCTCCGAGTCCCCTTGCTGACGCCAAATTCACAGAGAAGTCAGGCCACGCTCACTTTGCTGTATTAATGGGCGGTTAATTTGCCTTTCCTCACACTTGGCGTGGAAGTTGATTGAGGTCCTTCTGAGTGACTTGAGGTGTCTGACATCCCAAGGATTCCTGACATGCAGATCCAACTGGAATCATCTCTATGATTCCAGCCAAGCGGGAGCAGCTATCTCTCTCTCTGTCTCTCCCCGCCACAGCTTCCTCCAAGGACACACAGAAAGAAATAGATACTGTACATACCAGAGTGTATGCTGGGTTGTGCTCTGCCCTTTTGACTTGGTGTTGAGTGCTTTCTCCTCCCACCAAATATCTCCCGGGCAATATAAGGGGAAATGGAAGGAGAGCCACAGAGACTCGATCGGATAGAAAACCTGTCCACATTGGCCACAGGGCCGAGGAAGGGCTTCCTGGCTTTTCAATCTTTGATCCAGAAAGTCACTCCTTCTTCAGGTGTCTCTGAGACGTGGACTCCCTTCAACCCAGTGCTTCTCCATCTCAGCTGTATATTGGAGTCACCCTCACAAATTCTGACTTACTTCGTCTGGGGTGCAGTCTGGCTAGTGGGAACTGAGAAAGTGCCCAAAGTGATTATTCTTTTTTAAAAAAATATATTTTATTGATTTTTTACAGAGAGGAAGGGAGAGGGATAGAGAGTTAGAAACATCGATGAGAGAGAAACATTGATCAGCTGCCTCCTGCACACCTCCTACTGGGGATGTGCCCACAACCAAGGTCCATGCCCTTGACCGGAATCGAACCTGGGACCCTTGAGTCCGCAGGCCGACTCTCTATCCACTGAGCCAAACCGGTTAGGGCCCAAGTGATTATTCTAATGGTAACCACTGATCTAACCTCATTCCACCTACAGGGTTGGTTTGCTGGCAGGAACCTCGCCATATCTCAGGTCACCACCAAATATGTTCTCTGGGTGGACGATGACTTTCTCTTCACCACCAAGACCAAGATTGAGAAGCTGGTGGATGTTCTGGAGAAAACGGAACTGGATGTGGTAAGGGATAGTTGCCAGTTTGATCCCAGTTGCAACCCGTAGAAACAATCACGAGAAGGAAGGAGAGGAGAAGAGAAGAGAGGAAAGTATGTGAGGGAAGAGGAGAAAATAAAAGAAAAAAGAAAGAAAGAGGAGAGAAGCGGGAAGGAAGGTGAGGGAGAGGGGCTGATGCAGGAGATGAATAGCCAGCACAACTCTGGGCTTGAGGGTGTCACACCAGGACTCAGGAGATGGGCTTGAATTTTGTTTCTGCCTCCATACTTACTTTTAAAAAAAATACATTTTTATTGATTTTTTTTTTTTTAGAGAGAGAGGAAGGGAGAGGGATAGAGAGATAGAAACATCAATGGAAAGGGTGAGCTTGCTGTATGGTAAGCAGAGCAGAGAACTTGTCTGCCCTTTTGGCTTGGTGTTAAGTGCTTTCTGCTCCCACCAAAGAGATTTTTCTGGGGTGAGTAGGAATGAAGGATCAAAGGACCCTGCAATATATGCTGAAGGCTGTGGCCGCAATAGCAACAAGAGTAACGGAGGACAGCATGAAGGGTAGATAGAGAAAGGGTGTGATTCTTTATATATATATTGATGTCAGAGAAGAAGGGAGGAGAGAGAGATAGAAACATCAATGATGAGAGAGAATCATTGATCAGCTGCCTCCTGCATGCCCCCTACCGGGGACCGAGCCCACAACCCAGGCATGTGCCCTTGGCCGGAATCGAACCTGGGACCCTTCAGTCCGCAGCAGGCTGACGCTTTATCCACTGAGCCAAGTCGGCTAGGGCAAGGGTGTGATTCTTTTTTTTTTTTTTTTGCCCAACAATAACTATGTTTAATACATGGTATACATATGAATGCAGATAAAGGCTGCTGAGTGGACACTAGGTTTAAAAATGGTATCATTATAATGTATTTTATGAATAAGAAAAAAGGCACTGTCTGAAGAGATAGATTTATTTTCCTATACTCTTTAATTTGGACCCCCCATCCCACTCCCTGCCAACTGAGCTGACTTCCCACCATTAGTAGAGAGCGACGACCCTCTGCCAGGCAATGCAGCATGCTGCCCCACCAGCCCCTGGTTCAGAGGAAAGTGCGTTTGGCCTGTTACTCTGCAGTCTTTATGCTAACCTGGTTCCAGCTTCAGGAGCACAAAACTCAAGTCTCTGGTCACTTAAGACCTTTAAACAGCACCAACTGGCACTCTAGTTTATTTGGACCTTAAATGCCACCAACGCTCACTAGATTCCGAATGTTATTTAAATTATATATCAAGAATTTTAAAAAAAGAGAGAGAGGGAGAGAAGAAGCTTATCAGAATAAGAGCATCCTAGGAATGTTCTTAAAGTCTCTATTCAGCTTTTGGCTGACATATGAAATTATAGACAATAACTATAGCCCCCTTCCCCAGGTGTGAAGCTAAACCAGCTTCTGGGGCCTGGTTACAGTGCTCATAGAGATAAACTGCCTTCAAAGTCAGACTAGTGACGCCGTGGCCCCAGTGGCCTCTCAAGTGAGGCCTTGCCATCCACTGGTGGACAAGACACGTAGTGTCCGGCATCAGTCCCTGGGCCCTCCTGCCTCCTGTCTCAGCAGGATCCCTGTGAAGGAGCAGCCCGTACTTCCTCTGGAGGACATCCGTAGTGTTTTCCAGGGCACAGCCTGCACGAATGATGCCAAACTTTCCAGGCACAGACAAGTCAACCACGGTTGAGCCGAGGCGACACTTGGGGCTCTTGCCATCCCCAATTGGCCCCCCATCGATTACCAAGGACAGTTGAGGCCAGAGGTCCTGGAACTCTTCCACATTCAGAGAACTGGGCTGGGAGCTGAGGTTGGCACTGGTGAGAGCAAGCGGCCCCCCACACATCTGGGCCACGTCCTGCAGGAAGGCATGGTCAGGAATCCGGATGCCCACAAGAGGAGTGAAGGGGTTCAGGTCCTTACTGAGCTCCTCCGAGCGTGCCATCACCAGGGTCACTGGTCCTGGTAACAGGTCTTTGAGGAGCCCCTCGGGTACTTTGACATGACAGAACCTGGAGACGTGGACCACGCGGCCCAGGCACAAGGCCAGCGGCTTGGCCTCGCTGCGGCCCTTGAGGCGGTACACGGCGTCCAGTGCTGCCGAACAGCTCGTCGAGCACGCCAGGCCAGACTGCGTATCGGTGGGGACGGCCACCATCGGTCCAACCTGTGCGCTCCGGGCTTGCAGCCCGCGGGAACGTAAAGCCCGGCCCCCGGCGCCGGCCCCTCACTCAATCCCACGCAGACAGCCACCGCGGCCTTCAGTCCCCTCAAGGGTGTGATTCTTGTTGAAGTTCAATCCAGTAAGGCTTTGCTGCAGAGGCAACATGGATGGTGAGGATGTTCTCTAATGTGGATTTCTCTGCCCGCGGGCCAGGTAGGCGGCAGTGTGCTTGGCAACGTGTTCCAGTTTAAGCTGCTGCTGGAGCAGAGTGAGAATGGGGACTGTATTCATCGGCGGTCGGGATCTTTCCAGCCCCTGGACGGCTTCCCCGGCTGCGTGGTGACCAGTGGCGTTGTCAACTTCTTCCTGGCCCACACGGAACGGCTGCTAAGAGTTGGCTTCGACCCCCGTCTGCAGCGAGTGGCTCATTCAGGTGGGGAGGCTGACGGGGGAGGCTGGAGCTGGGCTATGAACGGACCCGAGACGTGTGTTCTTTCAAGGGCGAGCCCCACTGATCACGGTCACTTGCCCAACAACAGTGGGTTTCCTTTCCCTTCCCCCCAAATGAAGGCGCTCATGGTCTCTCTTGCCTCCTTATTCACCCTCTCTTTGATTTCTTGCCTCCGGCTTATGAGATACCTTCTCCATCCTTTCCCTACAGCTCTGCCCCCTCCCTTTTCCCCACCCTGCTTCCTATTCTCATTTTCCAGAAGTCCTTTCTTGTTGAACTGCAGCTGGTTAACTGCCCTCTCTCTTTTCTCTCTTATTCCCTCAGTCCAGGAGTCCACAGTTCTGTCCAGCTAGAAGGCCAATCCGTGTTTCTCTGCCTCTCTACGCGTATCTCTGTCTGAGAAATGAGCTTGTTTATGGCCTTCCAAATCAGCTGGGGCAGGTGGCTTTGCTTGGGGCTGAACCTCCGCAGGGGTATAAACTGTGTTTCCTCCCCCGACTCTCCTCCCAGACGTGGAATATGGTCCTGGATCTTGGGCCCAATCTCACATTTCTTTCTCGTGTTCTTCCTGTCTTGGCAGAGTTCTTTATTGATGGGCTTGGGAGCCTGTTCGTGGGTTCGTGCCCAGATGTGATTATAGGTCACCAGGCCCATTCTCCAGAGGTGGACCTGGAGCTGGCTGCCCTGGAGAAGACCTACAGCAAGTACCGGGCCAATACCAATGCCCAGATCCAGTTCAAGCTGGCTCTCCACTACTTCAAGAACCATCTCCAATGCTCCACATAAAGGTGCCCAGGCATCGGGAAAGCGCTAGGCTGACTGGTGTGGGCATCTGGAACAGTGGAACCGGTGGTCAGGCTACCAAAACATGGACTCCTAAAAAAGAGAAATATCATAATAAACCATATAGTGTGTTTGGCAAATGGGATGGGTTCAATTACTGGAAAGACCAATCAAAGGCTAGAGGTCATTAGGAATGGACCATTCAGGAGAAACCAAGATGGCGGCATAGGTAAACACCGAAAATTGCTGCCTCGTACAACCACTTCAAAAATACAACTAAAAGACAAAACGGACATCATCCAGAACCACAGGAAGACTGGCTGAGTGGAAATTCTACAACTAGAAGGAAAGAGAAAAGCACACTGAGACTCAAGAAATATTCAAAGTGATGAATAGCAAGAACCTACAACCAAGATTACTTTACCCAGCAAAGCTATCATTCAGAATTGAAGGTCAGATAAAGAGCTTCACAGATAAGTAAAAGCTAAAGGAGCCCTGGCCGGCTTGGCTCAGTGGATAGAGTGTCAGCCTGCGGACTGAGGGGTCCCGGGTTCGATTCCGGCCGAGGGCACATGCCTGGGTTTCGGGCTCGATCTCCAGTGGGGGGTGTGCAGGAGGCAGCCGATCAATGATTCTCTCTCATCATTGATGTTTCTGTCTCTCTTTCCTTCTCCCTTCCTCTCTGAAATCAATAAAGAAATATATTTTAGAAAAAGAAAAAGAAAGAAAAAGCTAAAGGAGTTCATCACCACCAAAACAGTATTATATGAAATGCTGAAAGGTATCCTTTAAGAAGAGGAAGAAGAAGAAAAAGGTAAAGATACAAATTATGAACAACAAATACACATCTATCAACAAGTGAATCTAAAAATCAAGTGAATAAATAATCTGATGAACAGAATAAACTGGTGAATATAATAGAATCAGGGTCATAGAAAGGGAATGGACTGACTATTTTCGGGGGAGAAAGGGGTGTGGGGGGTGCAGGAAGAGACTGGACAAAAATCGTACACCTATGGATGAGGCCAGTAGGGGGGGGCATAAGGGCAGAGGGTGGGGTGGGAACCAGGTGGAGGGGAGCTATGGGGGGAAAAAGAGGAACAACTGTAATAATCTGAATAATAAAGATTTAATTAAAAAAAAGGAAATGGACCAATCTCTGATCAGGGCAATGAAGACCATATTAATAATGATTATTTATTTGTATGATGCTTTACTGTTTATGAAGCATTTGCACGTACAGCAGCTCACATCATTTCCTTAGATATCACAAGAAAGAGGGTTGGTATCTTCAGTCAAAAGAATGGCTGGCTGCTGGGTCCTTGAATGTTATTGGGTGGCAATGTTGTAGGCTGGTCTTTTTGCTCACAGTCAGAAGCATCATCTCCAGCATCATTGTCATCCACAAATTTTTATTTGGTTCTGCCTGTGGACTCAGACAGTGTGAATAACCCAGGGTCCTTGTCTTGAGGCGGTTGCAGCCTGGTTCAGTTCAGTCCACTAGCATCATTGGGCAGCCAGCGTCAGAGGGTCAGAGGAGGGAGAAGTCACCCTGGCCTTGGCAGCTGAGGAAGGCTCTGTGGAGTTAGCTTATCTGGAGTCTGGAAGATGGATGGGATTCAGGCAGTTGGAGGGAGAGAAAAGAGCATTGGGTAGTCCACTGTCTGTCAGAACAAAGGTGTTCCTGGCATCAGACTTGCTACCATAAAGACACATTCCAGAATGCCAGGCATTGAACTTGGACCCCCACACTAAGGTGCCATGATAAACAGTATAAGTGTGGTGGCAAGCCACTGCATTCCAGGGACTTGAGACCAGTTGCTGACTCTTCAAGACCCATGTCATCTACAGAATGGAGCATCACATGTTGTTGAGGAAAGCTCTCTGTTATCGTTGGAGTCAGCAGATTCCACAACTGATCTAGCCCTGCCCTTAGGGCCGAGAGTAACTCAGGATCTCTGAAGATGTGTCTGTGAGATATTAATAAAATTTAATGAAAAATATTTTAGTGGTCAAATAATTTTCAAAAAAAATTGCAAGTCACATTAGTATAGTAAAGGCTCTGAGAAGTTCTGTAGTAAAGGAATCGGTTTAAGTTTAATTCAGCATTTCTCAGATATGGATATAGACTGGCAGTCATTTTTTATTCTCCCAAATTGGAAGTGAACACACCTACCTCATTCCATTGTTGTCATAAAGATTCTATTGCAAAAGCTTTTCCAGCTTTAACTAATATGCACAATCACTTTGTGTAATAGTACATGCATTTTATGTACAACTAGAGGCCCAGTGCATGAAATTTGTGCACTCGGGGCCGGGGGTCCCTCAGCCCAGCCTGCTCCCTCTCTCAGTCTGGGAGCCCTCGGGGGATGTCCGACTGCTGGCTTGGGCCCGCTCCCCCTGGACCAGCCTACAAAAATGCCTTTAGTCAGACATCCTTAGAGCTTCCACCAAGGCAGGAGAGGCTCCCACCACTGCCACTGCCCTCGCCAGTTGTGAGCCCGGCTCAGGGCTTCTGGCTGAGCAGTGCTATCCTTGTGGGAGAACACTGACCACCAGGGGGCAGCTTCTGCATTGAGCGCCTGCCCCCTGGTGGTCAGTGCGCATCATAACTACCGGTCGTTCTGCTGTTTGGTCGATTTGCATATTAGCCTTTTATTATATAGGATAATGTTGGATAGGACAAAGATCTCAAGGTCTGAGCAATTCTTACTAAGTGCAATTCTTGCTAAATGTTAAAATGTAGCACGGTATTTTGCAGATGCAGCTGTAACCCCATGAGCTTGACCCAAATCCAACCAGATAGGTTTAGCCAACGGCACAGAAGAAATCAACATTAATATTAACCAGATAGTGTATATAAGCAATGGCTAAGCCTCCCTTCTGGGAGACAGAGCTTTGGATATGAACCCCATCTCCAGAACTACCTAATGACAATTACGTCTCTTTCTTGACCAGAACACCTCAAGTGGCGAACCCCTTGAGCTGGGTAGCATTCACAAGTCTGGGGATGGCCATAGGCGTTAAGACTCACTAGCTATTATCAGTCAGATTTTTAAAGAAACTGAATTGCCAATGAGACCTCAAGAATTTACAGGGTTTCTGATAATTCCAGTCAATTACAGACATCTTGTCTAGACATAGTCTCTGAGACTGGGAAATCCATTCTGGTAACCGCAGGCCTCTGCCTATTCTCTGGCACTCGGTTAAACTGCCTCTGCCTGGAGGCTATTCAAAATTGGCGTCTAAGGTACAGAGAGACCGTCTATAATCTGTTCTTTGCCCCCACGTTTTTCCTCATCGTGGGCAGAAAGTGCTTTTTTTTTTAGAAAATGTTTAAAGCTTTGCAATGTTGTAGGCTGGTCTTTTTGCTCAAACTGATCTCTGGCTAAGTCTTCTGTGTCTGCTGGTGCTTTCTCTTGGGGTAGGGAATTCAGCTTTTCTAGCCCTACAAGGCTCCAAATGATAGGACTTCCAGTAAATTTGGACTGAAAACCACTCTCAGCAAAATCATATTCTACCTGCTTTAAAAAAAAAAAAAATATATATATATATACAGTGAGACTATGTAAAAATGCATTTTTTTTGTTTTTTATATTTTTTAAATTTTTTTTATTGATTAAGTTATTACATATGTGTCCTTATCCCCACGTTACCCCCTATCCCCCCCCTCATGCCCTCACCCCATTGGTTAGGCCTATATGCTTACATATAAGTCCTTTGGTTGATCTCTAAAAATGCATTTTTTAAAAAGGAAATGAAACACATCAAATGTTAAAAGTGCTTGTTGGGGCTGTGGTTATTTTAATTTTATTTTTTAAAATATATTTTTATTGATTTCAGAGAGGAAGGGGGAGAGAGATAGGAACATCAATGATGAGAAAGAATCATGGATCGGCTGCCTCCTGCACACCCCTCACTGGGTATCGAGCCCACAACCTGGGCATGTGCCCTTGACCAGAATCAAACCTGGGACTCTTCAGTCCACAGGCTGACACTCTATCCACTGAGCCAAACTGGCCAGGCTGTGGTTATTTTTAAATCTTCTCTGTACTTTACTGTATTTTCTACATTTTCCATCGTAAATGTCTTATCTTTATAATCTGAAAATATAAAATAATTCATTTTTTAAAATAAAGTGCAAACACTCAAGAAAAAGATAAAATGTGGATGCTGCTTTTTAAAAAGTAAGTGGCCAGATTCCCCCATCAGATTTTCCTGGGGAATGCCAGAGCTGCCAAGGCAAAGTGGGGATTTGTGGCAGATGTCACCTAACCTGGGTGGTGAGGGTGCTGAGCAAGGCAGATTCCATCCCAGCTCACTGTGAGGGGCCTCTGCATGGATAAAGGAAACCGATGAACCTAGCCTTGATAGTGAATATGAATATTTTTTATGTTAACTACTGTACTCAAAGCATCATTGTACCTGTTACTCCATTCATTATCCACTTACTCAGGCTCACAAAAAATTTGGGAGAATATCTTAAAAGTCTCGTATCCTGGACTTTAGCCCTCTTTTGTGAACCCCTGGCCTCACTGTACTTTCTGGGGTGCACTCTGCCGAAGTTCAGCCCTCAGATCGAACCCCACTGACCCTAACCACACCGGACTCCCCCACGCTGCAGGGGCCACCTTGTGGAGGCTTATTGTAGAGTCTGTGCTCAAAGATGTCAAAGGCTTCTTTGGGATGTTGTGCACCGTGGATTTATGTTAAAAGAAACTAGTGCTGCTGGGACAAGGGGATTACATATTATCTCTGTTTTCTCTGATCTCTGAACACAAAACTGTAAAGTTGTTTCTCCCTCCTAAGGTCTCCTGGGCCCCCCAGAGGGGTTTAGTGAAGTGTTTGGTAAGGCGCTAGTCACATTCAACGAGCAGTCCGTCCTGGGCCCTGGCCCCCAAAGCGCTCACAGCCTAGCCCGGGAGGGGCGGAAAGATGGGAGAGGCCGAACCATAGAACACCATTACCTATAATTCCAGCGAGTAACGACAAAAGCTGTGAGGGAGAGGACCCTTTCATGCACTTGAGGAATGCATGAGTAGAGAGGTTTCAGCAGGGTCTCATTTGGTAAGATTTTTCTAAGGCGGAGAAAGAGGGAGGTGGGAACTGAAAAAGAAGAACTAGGGAATGGGAGTCCGGAGAAGTGGGAAGAGGAAGCCACTCCTTTATCCTTGTACTAGACAGAAGGAACTCTCTCCTATACTCTTTCAAAGGCTGTAATCATCACCCTTTAGGATTTCTACAGTAGCTTTTGAAAATTTAATTGCAACACACTCCCACACTCACAGAGCCCCTGTAAGAA